CCTGCATGTACACTTGACACGGTCCAAGGGGGCCGTGCCAGTGTGAGACACTGCCCCAGCCGTGGCTCCTGAGAGCAGAAACTTCCACAAGGCTCCCATGTTATCCACTTCCAGGACATCCATGGGCACCATCAACTGCTCTCCTGTGTGGAGAACCTGCAGGGCAGACTCAGCTGCTGCCCATGCTCAGCCAGGCTGGAACCAGACACATCTCCAGAACCCCCTCCTGGCAAAAGGCCCACCCCGGTCCTCACGGCTTCAAGATGAAATTCTAGGTCTGCTTGGAGGGAAGTGGACCATGTAGAGGGGTGGGCAGTGTGGCTTTCTCCCCACAATGTTCTGGCTGGAGATTCTGAGTGACCTGTATCTCACCTGCTGTGATATGAGGTGCTCCAGGTCGTTTTTACTCACATGCCCAAACACATATCCATACACGTGAGTACAGCCTGGGTTCCAGAAGACAGGTGGGGGTGGGGACGGGGGTTGAGGAGGGGGCGAAGCTTTGGTGAACAAGGCCTTGACCCTCTTAAATAGGGTCTGGATCCTTGAGCAAGGGTTCTGGGCTTCCTCAGGTTTCACTACCATGGCAGCTAGAGAGTCAGGACATTGAGGTTCAGATGCCTGGCAAGAGATTTGCCTACCAGCAATCATGTGGGAGTTGTAAATTTGCCTAGTAAATTTGGGTCCCGGGGATAATGAGGTCACAGAGGCCCTTGTGACCTAGCTGGATATGGTGGACAGACTGAGGGTCTCCCCTCACGCTGCTCATCCCTTTAAACCCGTGAATGTGTTATGTTACATGAGAGAGGGGAGGCTGTTATGTTTGCAAATGGAATTTAGGTTACTAACCAACTGATAGGGGGCTGGACAGGTAATTCTGGATCAACCAAATGGGCCCAGGGTACTCTCGTGAGTCCTTAAACAGGGAAGAGGGAGCCAGAACAGTTGGTGTTGGAGTCATACATTGTGAGCAAGACCTCAAGGCCATCGCTGGCTTTGAGGATGGAGGGAGGGCCACCAGCCATGGAATGCAGGTGACCTTTAGAAGCTGGAAAATGCCTTGGAGGCCCCAGAAGGAGCCAGCCCTGACGACAGCTTAATTTTAGCCCAAAGAGATCCATGTCATGTTTCTGACCTCCAATATAATTCATTGGTGTTGTTTTAAGCCACCAGGTTTGGCATCATTTGTTACAGCAGCCATAGGAAACTACTACAGGGTTTCATTGTCATGGCAACAGGAGATGAAAGTGAGAGAGAATGGGACAGCTCTGGAGTTTGGGGGAGAGAGATACAGTTGATCCCCCTCAAAAGACAAGAATAGGTTTGGAGTCAGATAGACCTGAGTTTGAGTCTCACCTCTACACTTCTTGCTGTGTGACTTTGGAGTACCCGCCGTACTTCTCTGAGCTTCAGTTTCCCCATCTGGAAATGGGAAGTAATGATAAACTCTACCAGATAGTGTTGTCAGTAGGATCCAACAAGAGTGTTCATTGAGGGCATCTCCATCCTCCCCCAAAACACCCTTTAATTTGTAGGTGGGGAAACTGAGGCTTAGAAAGAGAAGCTTGTCCGGTGTCACACTGCATGTCAGTTGCAGAGCCTCCTAAATCTCAGCCATAGCATCACGGGATATAAGAATGCAGACACGAGCCGAAACCGGTTTGGCTCAGTGGATAGAGCGTCGGCCTGCGGACTGAGAGGTCCCGGGTTCAATTCTGGTCGAGGGCATGTGCCTGGGTTGCGCGCACTTCCCGAGTGGGGGATGTGCAGGAGGCGGCTGATCGATGTTTCTCTCTCATCGATGTTTCTAACTCTCTATATCTCTCTCCTTTCCTCTCTGTAAAAAATCAATAAAATATATTTAAAAAAAGAATAAAAAAGAATGCAGACACGAAAATGGACGTTAACTGGTCCAATGAAATAAACTGAAAATGCTGACCCTCTACGCAAGCATGGTGGTAGTAACACTGGCAATGCTAATTCCTTGTTGAAAGCTGTGTATATTACATAACAATTTTTCTGGTGGCATGACTCCGAGATAGCAATATCCTTTGACCCACTC